AAGAAGAAAGAAAGGAAACGCTGCATTTCTCCAGGTGTTTTCTTACAAGAGTTTGTGTTTATACTTGTTTGTGGTTTTTAGTGTTTGTTCGTTTGTTTTTTCTTGGCGCGAATTGTGTCTCTATCTGTAGAAATACAAATACAGAAATAAGAGTTGTGAAAAAAAAAACTAAACAAAGATAATAACAAACCAAACTGTAAAAGAGGTATAGAATAAAGAATGAAGCGGCCTACCACCAAAGGATACTGACAACTACACGCACCTACCTCATAGACGTTCCAGTATGTCTGTATATATATATATATATATAGAGAGAGAGAGAGAGTCAAAAAAAAAAAGACTTACAGCAATAACTTTGTTATGGATAACTTAAAACGGAGTGTAATCATTTCAACAGTGTGTCCAAAACACCAACAAACTACTCATATTACAAAAACATATAATTCCCACTAACATGGACTGTAAGTAATTATACTTGCTTCCAAACCGATTTTATTTCACAGCTATCGTCCATAGAATGAGAAGCACCACTGCCAAGAGATGCCAGAAGGTAAATAGAAACATAATAAGTGATAGAATTGCAGGTAATACAGGTGATACACGCGAAGGACCACTAGTTGATACAGGCAGTCTCTCTTTATAACTGCAGTGATGTCCAACAGAGGATACGTATGCACGTGCTACTTGTTCAGATCGAAGCCATAATACAGTTCCCAAGAGAAAAGGTACTGGTGTATTGGCCATACAGAGTATTACCCCACTATAGTGGAGTCCTATGTGTAGAAAACATAATGTAATAAGGGGAATAAAACAAATACCTAATGCTTTAAGTGTTTCAAACAACATATCAAAAACTCTAAACGCCTCTAACACCTTTAGAGCCAGACAGAAAAGAAAGAAAGAAAAAGAAAAAACCTCAGAGAGTGTATATGGGTGCGTATAAAAGAAAATATAGGGGAAAAGAAAAGGAAAAAGGGATCACAGTTCTTTTTTAAAAGGTGTATTTAACTAAATATATATATATATGTGTGATTGCTTCTCACAAAGTGATACAGAAGACGAACCACAGATGACATCATCAGGGTGATATACATTTCCACCCACCCATACACACACATACACACACAGAAGCACTAAGATAAAAAAAAAAAAGTTATTCAATGAATTGAAATTGGCAGATGGAAAAAAATCCATATAAATGGGAAAGGTAACAAATATGACAGAATACTTCATTACTCAAAACACTTGCGTGTAATGAAAAAGTCAAAGTATAAGCAAAAGGCACCTCTCCTTTTATTTTTGTTTCTTCCTTTTTTTTCTCTCTCTCTCTCTCTCTCTCTCTCTCTCTTAATGTTCCTTTGTTTTTTTTTTTTCTTTTCATTCTCTAATTGTAACAGCACCAACAAAAAAAGCAAACAACAACAACAACAACATGGACAAGCAGAAGAAGGATCATCACCTGAAAGCAATAAAAAATAATAAAAGTTCAAAAATGAAACAGCAGAAAAAAAAAGGCATAAAAAAAGAAAAACAGAGATCCCTCTCTCTCTCTCTCTCCCTTATGCCCGTGCGTTAACTCTATTGTTAACAGGAAGAGGCGGTTTTCGTGCGGTGTAGCAAACACGCCAAAGTAAAAAGAGTAGATCTGCATTCGCCACAATTTCCTCTCTTGTCGCTGTTACACTTTCAATATCAGAGGCTCCCACCATATCATACGCCACCACCATCGCCTTAATGGCCTGAACAACGGCCGCACAGGGATGGAGTGGAAGATTCTCTAATGTCTCATTTGTTACTGGCCAACGTTCTCCACTACGCCATGTTGCCCCAACAGGACGTTTGGATATATTAACAATCAAACGTTTAACTTCTTGGAAACCTTCAAGAAAGACGACAGCGGCGGTGGTGCCACACCGCAATCGATCCTTTATTTGTCGGAAGAGTGGCATATCTGTATATATATTCAATACAATTCCTTTTAATCGGGTCATGACTAGAGCCATTGCCTCTGCGACTGGTAATTGCCGAAGTACACTTGGTGTAAATAAGGCATTGGAAGAGGCTGTAAGACTCTCATCATCTAAATGACTACCACTCACACCAGACACACCTTCTAAGGAGCGACGAAGAGAATCACGGCTTTCAGTGAGTTTTTGCGTCTTTTGAACATCTTCATTAAGACGCTGTTTTTCCTGTTCATATTGTCTACGTAAATGATCTAAACGTTTTTGTAGTTGTAACTTATCAAATATATCGGAATGTGTTTCTTCTGCATGACGAAGTTGTGCCTCTACTTCTTGTACTTCCCGTAAGAGTGCGTCTAGAGCTCTTTTGCGGCAGAAGAGTTGCCAAGTTACAAATCGTCGATATAATATATCACGATAACATTGTTTTTCCTTCGCAGCCGCAAGAGCACGGCGTGAGAGCATAATTCGGCGACGTTCATTCCATCGACGCCAAAGACCAAACACACGACGACGTTCCCGTTCTTCTGTTACTTTTACATAAGCTCCTGCAAATCGTCCAATGTATGTTGTTTTTGATACCCTGTTGTTTACAAGAGATTTACTTGTAGTATTATTATCATTACTACTCATAATAGTAGTAGTAGTAGCAGGAGTAGTAGTAATATTTGAATTTGGTTTACATTGAGTATTGGATGCATACCAACTATCATAGGCCTGTCGCAATACCCGTTGTCTAGACTTTGCTGCGACGAGTGCCAATTTATCAGCTGGTAATTTACCCCGTTGAATACTTCTTTGGCATTTCCAACAGGCAAAATATTTTGCCAAAATAACACCATTAGAGACTCTTTCTAATGTTTTCATTACTTCTTCTTGTTGTCGATGTAACTTGCGACGGGAAATACTATCTCTCCAGCGAGAAATTAATTCTGCAATCCACATTTGATTAGTTACCCGTTCTAATGCGAGGGCAATCAATTGTTTTCTAATACGACTTTGTTCCTTATCATAAAAAGAACACCATGTTGTAAAGTAACGTCGCATTAGTCGAAATTGATATCGTTCTTCTAAATTTAAACATATTTCTTCCTGTTGTCGCCCTCGTAGACGATGGGAACAAACACGCATTCGCCATCTAGAGTAATAACTAAAAAGCAATCGACGTACATGTAAACGAGAGAGTAAAGTACTATACTTTCCTTTACGTTCCACTTCCTTCTGTTTTAATGCCAATGCCTTTTGTTCCCATTCTTTCGCCTCTGCGGAGTCTTGGGAAATAACAGCATTTATATCCTTAATAGATTTCTGTAGAGATTCCTCCAATACATTTCGGTGTCCACACCATACTTTGCTAATTCCATTACTTCCCAATGCCAATACACGCATCGCCTCTACAGTTCCTATACAATGTAAAGATACAACCTCATAAGGTTGATAAGATCCATTGGCATCAATAAAAGCCTCACGGGCTACTTGTTCTACTCCAAAGTCATCATCAGGATTTGCACTCCATCTTTCTACGACTCCATCTACATAAGATACCCATAAACTACGAGATCCCTCATGTGGTACCATATCCCGTACAGCCACTTGAACAGGAACACACTTCAATAATCGACAACTACGCTGAAATGCAAGTCCTGAAGATTGTTCATCACAACGCATATTCCATACATTTACATAACCATCTTCAGCAGCAGAAAAAAGAAGATCTTCCATCACCACCATGGCATTTACACGACTGTTATGACCACGTAAAGTGGCTACTTGTAAACCAGAGGTACAATCCACAGCAAGAATACTACCAGCCATAGAACCACACAAAACAATATTCGCTCCAAAAGCTGTCATGCATGTAAGTGCCTGATGAGTTTCAGAAACCCCAACAATACGTGTAATGGCTTCAAAATTTTTTTCTTCCTTATCCCAGCGAACTAGTGCCATATCCAGTGATCCACTCACCGTCGTTCCATCCATCATCGAACAGAAAGCCACAACAGGAGAGGCGTGAAAATGACCCATCGTTACTTGCGTAACACAGAGATGATCATATACCACTACAGCACCATCACTAAAACCCACCCAAACATGATGTGGTGTAGATAATAGTGCTAATGGTTTGATCGTCTCTTTCTTTTTCGACACCCGTGCAGGGATTTGCACAGATAACTCACCAGAAACACTACTAAATATATCAATGGTACCCAATTCGGAATTCGCTGCCCATATAGATGCACTGGCCTTTACAAGTGCAACACATGCATATGGACCAGTAAGTGTGAAGGGTACATTATGTCGACTCATTTCACTCTTCACTTGAATTCGTGGATCAATATTCACGGAAGCACTCCCAACAGAAGGACTCAACTGCAATGGTGGTACAGTTGGTAGAACCGTAGGTGTTATTGGAGTCGTTGGAGCCCCAGCAGCAGCAGCAACAACAGATGATGATGAATTGCCTGCCATCGCCATATTACCCGTTCGAGTAGTTGTAGATACTCGTGGAGATTTTTTGGATGTATTAAATCGTGTAGATGAACGACCTGGTGTAGATGGACGCGTTAACAGAGATGATTTCTTTCCTGTATCCCCAACTCCTCTTATCGTCGACGCACTAGTAGTAGTAGCGAGATTCACAGACGCGGCTCCTGAAGGAGGTTCCTGTCGTTGAAGTGATATCGTACCGCGAGTAGCACTAATAGGCGTTGAGTTCCGCAAACGAATAGTGGCACGTTCTCGCATATATGCGTTTTCGGCTTTAATGGCTTGTACACGACGATGATTCATCTCAGCCACAGTTTCACGTGTGGTGGAACCCTTGTATGGATTCTTCCAATCTTCTTTTAATCGTGGTGTGGTCATTTTTCTTTTTTTCTCTGTTTGTTTGATTCTTCTTCTTTTTCTTTTTTTTTTCTTTCTCCCACTACCACCCTCTTTATTTACCTACAATGTGTCTGTCCGTCTGTCTGTCTTTCTGAGGATGTATGTATATATATATATCTCCTGCAGTTAATGTTTTCCGTTTTCTTTTTTCTTTCGTGTATTTTTTTTTTTCTCTTCTCTCTGTGTGGTAATAATATCGCCTTTCTTTTTGTTCTTCTTTTCTTGTACCCTTCGTTTCTACTTCGCTGTCGCTATCAGCGCGTTGTATTCTTCTTCTTTTTTTTTTCTTTTTTCTCTTTCTATTTCTATATATGTACGTCCAGCCAACGCATCAAGAGCCGAAACTGTGCAAGCCTTTTTTTTTCTTTTTTCTCCTTCGTATCAGTTGTAATCTACACTAACACTATGGATCACTTATTTTTTTTTTTTTTTTCCTTTCTTTCTAACTTTACTGTGGTTCAATTTAAAAGGAAAAAAAGGAGCATAGAAGAAAAGAAAATAAATGAAAGAAATAAGAAGGATTACTCACACACAAAGAAAGTAGAAGGAAAACGAAAAAAAAAAAAGAAAAAAAACATCCTGCAGAAGTCTACATCAAATAAAAACAATAAAATAACAATAAAAAGCACCGTCAACTAGTTATAATTCATTTTGGTTACCACAAATAAAAAAAAGAAAAAGAAAAAAGAGACATGGTGACACAGAGAGAATAAAAGAGAAATTCTCTGTGTGAGCGAGTTAACACTCACGTATACAGTGGTATTGGTGTAGTGTATACATACAGATAATATAAGCGGGTGGGGAGAGACACCGACTGGAGATGAGAAACACATAAACAAACAAACAAACAAAGGAAAAAGAAGGAATTTACAGTACAGTGAAAATCAATATATATATATATATATATATATATATACCGAACGAGTGAGTGAGTGAATGTATGTATGTGCAAATGACGGTATAGAAACACAGTCATTTTTTTTTTTTTAATCCATGCCTTTTATCTCTTTTTTTTTTTTCCATCAACTCCCCTCTTCAATCCACCCAACCCTCCTTCTCCTACGTTCTCCATCCATTTATCACCATCATCTCTCTGCCAAGTTGTATACAATAGAGATGTATCGTTTTAACAACGTATACACATCTTTTGCGCCTTTTTTTTTCTTGTGTGTGTATGTGTGTGTGTAACGCTCCGCTTCTCTCATTGCTTTCTTCTTTTTTTTTTCTATATATATATAATTTTTCCTCGTAACAACAACACACCCACACACACACACACACTCGGGAATAGGCAAACAAACAATAGATAATCAAAGGCGTGAGAAGAAAATAAAAGAAAAAAAAGGAAAAAATTTCTCTTCACACACAGTAAGCGAGAATCATGATAATAATCTTCTGTTAAAGTTTTCTTCTGGTGAAAAAGGCTGTCATAACTGCCCCAATAAAAGAAAATGGAGACAACAACAAGAAGAATCATCAAACAGCAGCATTAAAATAAAAATAAAAATAAAAAAAAACGTTAGACTCCTTCAAAAGAAAAAAAAAAAAAAGGAAGGGGGGAGGACAATGTCGTGTCTGTGGTTTAAAGAAGCATCTACATACAAACACAGAGATTTCATAGACATATCCACACTTGTCAACCATGTGTACAAATACCTAATTTCCACTTCTATTTACTAATATTCTTTTTTCCCCTATACCTTGGCGTTTTAATTCTGTTATTGTAGTAGTAGTAGTATTAATAGTAATAGTTGTTGTTATCGTTTCTTTTGTGGATGCTTTTCCCTTTCTTTTTTTCTTCTTTCCCCCACATCCGTCTATACATTTTTTTTTAAAAAAAAGAAAAGAAAAGAAAAACAATTCTGTTTTTTTTTTTTTTTTTTTTTTTTTTTTTAATGGTTCTGCTCACCCATTAGAAAATCCCATACTCCGTATCCGCACAGCAAAGAGTGACTTGTCGTACATGCCGCATCGATCGTTTAGAGCCGCTGCGTCTCAAAGAACTTGCAGTGCTACGATGTGATGTATCTACAGATTTATCACCTAATGAGGCTGAGGATTGTTGTCGCAACTTCTCTAGTGAATGTTGTTTTTCATATTCCAAATGATCAAATACAAAAAATGCGGAATTTCGTCTTTCCACATACTTCTCATTATAAAGTATTTCCCATGCCTTCATCGTCGCATCCACAGATTCCACTGTATTTTCCCAGGAAACATCAATATTTTCAAGACCCAGTAACATTAGTGTTTGATAGTACTTTGTATGAGAGGTACGATGTGTATATAAGAGTAATGTAATCCCAATAGTGGGAACCGGATCTAATGTAGGCATCACCGCAATTCCTCCACCGCCTCCTCCACGACGACGACCCGTATTTTCACCATTTCGTCCAAAATAAGAGGGACGTCGAGATACATTTGTTAATCCTTGTCCTCCTCCATAAGGAGGAGGGGCAACACCTGTGGGAAGACTACCATTTCCAGCATTTATAGAGGAATTATTGACAACTCGGCTTAAAACAGATCCTGTTCGTCGTGGAGCTAAAGGGGCTAATACTTCTTTTGTTAATGGACGTGGTAAATAATCATCCGATGTGATAAGGGAGTTATTTTGTAATTCATCCTCGGTTTTTAAAGTATTTCCATCTAGTTGATCTGGTCTTTTAAGACGTTGAATTTGAGCATAGAGAGCGAGATACTTGACATAGCGGGTCCAGTCCATATTGAGTTCCCGTAGTTCACTCTCGTGATCAAGAAAATATTTATTTACATGAAAAAATCCTCTTAACGATTGCGCAAAGCGGTCAGAACCCTGTTCCATAAAATGTGCCGTAATAGAGAGATCAAGCACCGATCGAAGATCTGCATTGGTGTTCATTTGATGTAAACCAGTTGTGTCTAAATCTTCAGTGGGTGGTGCAGCAGGTGCTGAAGATACTTCTATCCCAGTAGTAGTCGTATTATTATTATTATTATTATTATTATTATTATTATTATTATTATTATTATTATTACCATCAGCACCTGCTGCAGCTGTAGTAGTAGTAGCAGTAGTATTATTACCATCAGCACCAGCTGCAGCTGCAGTATTAGTATTATTAGTATTACCATCAGCAGGAGCACTAACAGTATTATAACTAGCAGCTGGATTCGTAAAATCACCAGCAGAACTTGTTGTATCTTCTTGTACACCCCGTCGTTTTACACGTCTTTCCCAAAAATCATATCGCAACCATTGTAAATCTTTCTGTGCTGTACGTACCATCATATTCCACACACGTCTACTTCCCACCATTGCCTCCTTTACTCCATGCGGACGGACTTTCTGTTCTAAGAAAAAGAGTCGGTAGTTGCAACTTAACACCTGACCACAAATCGCTTCGCAATCACTACGGTAACCAAGTGGATCTTGTGTCATTTGAGCATAGTGAAGGGCCATTACATCCGCTGGTGGGATAATAACAACATTGTAATTTGCCGCCTGCATTGTCAGAAAAAAGATATAACGATTAATTACAATCTGAAGCACATCTGAGTTTACGTGTAGCCCCGATTTCTGAGGAGTGCAACATAAATTTTTCTTTTTAGTATTATCATTATTACTATTATTAGTTTGATTCTTGACAGACTTGCTAGTACTACCACCACCAAGCATAGAATTATCTTCATTTTTTTTGTGTGAGAAAAAAAATGGCTCAAGCGGTTGTAATGCGTGTACAGCTTCGGCATAACTATAAACAAGATCGTTATCAAGAGCAAGATCCACTTTAAAATATCCATCCAGTAGCAAATTAATAGTTGTTTGAACAGTATCACCAACAAAAAGTCCTGGTCTAAGTGCTATTCCATTTACGTGACGTAGATTGAGTCCACAAATTTCAATAGGAACTTTAGTGCGATAGGGACTCATGTTATGTACACCTTTCCACACTTCCCAATTAATGGTATGTAAATTGCGCAATTTAGCAATATCAAACCATTCATTACGAGCATTGCGGATGTTTTCTGCAAATGGACATCCAACAATATTAAGTACTTGAAGACTAGCAAAAGAAAAGAGTGTCATATTTGGATCATCCAAGTGTTCATTCTCACTCAAGTCAATGTCAACTAAATTTGTTAATTTATGAAAATATTTTGGTAAAGTTCGAAGATCACAGGCACGAAGTGAAAGTTTCTTTAATGGAATAGGTTGAGGAACAAAGGCAATACATCCAGCACGACTTACCTGACCCATACTTACACGAGTACTACCATATGAGGCGATACTAGTAGCATCATCATTCATGTCTGGTACACTATTGTAAACAGTATTGGTTTGTCCACTTTGAGGTGTATTACGGGATGTTGTCAGTTTACGTACAAGTCGTCCAGCAAGAACGTCAAGTGTTTCCAATGAATTTTCTGCAAGATCAAGATATGATAATTTACGCAATGAAACAATTACTTGTGGAACGGATTTTAGTTGCATACCTCGGAGATGCAATTCTGTTAGAGTAAGTGGTATTTTCTTCCCAAAAAATGAAGAATCCTCAAAGTCAAAGAAATTTGCAGATATATCAAGTGCCTCCAGTGTTGGGATATCCTTCACTCCAGCGGGTAATTCACCCATGAGACCACAATTCGCAATCAAAAGACGGCGCAGTTCTGTTAATCTTCCAAACTGCACCCCGCCTAATTGAAGATTAATATTATCGGAAAGATCCAATTCCTGTAGATGTGCACAATTAAGTAATGGTAGTGGGATGGCGGTGAGTGAGCAGTCCCGCAGTACAAGAGTTGTAAGCGATGGAATACGCGGAAGGACATCTAATGGCCGTGTTTGGTGTCCAAGTGGATTCATACTAGCGTTTAAAAGTTTTAGATTTGGCATTTCCCCCAATACCACTGGTAGTCGTTCAAAGCGGTTGGCGTTGATGTAAAGTTCCTCAATCTCTGGCAGTCGTGTCATTTCCTTTCCGAGTGTGTAGAGTTTATTCTCGGAGAGATGCAGTCTTCGGGCGGTGTGCAGTCCATCGCGGCGGATGAGTTCAACAAACCGCAGGCCAAAGACATCCATGGAGCGGGCGGTGAGATCAACGTCGCCGTGACGACCCACGTGGAGGCCGTTGGCGCCGAAGACACGATCCTTCTCCCGCACCAGCCCAGAGTGCTGGCAACCCATTGGAGAACCCACAGACTATCAAGATAGATAGATAAATAGATAGATAGATAGAGATTGAGAGAAAGATTGAGTAAGTGAGTGAGTGAGAGGGGAGGAATGGAGTTGGGGATGTGTAATGTAAGTGAGTAAATAATGCCGTACCTATGTGTGTGTATGTGATTGTGTGATTGTGTAAGTGTGAGTGTATAGATATATAGATATAGATATAGATATATATAAGAAAGAGAGAGAGAGATAGAAGCTGAAGAAGAAGATATTACTGACAAATATCACCCTTAATGTAGGGTAAAAGATAAAAAAAAACAATAAAAAAAGGACAAGACACACATTAAGGGAAATAATAACAATATGTGTATATACAAATGAAATCACAGAGAAATAAAAAAAATCTCTCGAGTTTTTTTTTTCCTTAATCGTCACTTATTTCATCACTCATGATTATTATTTCTTTCTTTCTTTTTGGCTTTACCTTATAAGATATATATATATATATATATTTCTTTTTACTCGTATAATCTCCACATCTACCAAGACTGTATTAGACTCCAGGTGCAAACATGACCTTCACATCGCCTGTCATAGTTAACGCCCCAGTCTGCCACATCTTCACAACATCCTCCAACACCTCCACACGCATTCGCCGCAGTGCATTCGTGGATGCGCAGAAAACACGATATATTTTATAAGCACTTCCAAACCGTGCGGCAAAGAGAAGTTCACGCAATGAAAGTTCAAAATCCCGTCGTGTATTACTACATGTACTTTTCACCTCCACATAACCCAAAATCTCTGTTGTGGATGCGGATGTTGTATTGTTAGCATGTCCTCTCCTATGAAAAGCCTGTTGATCTCCACCAGTTTGACGAACTAACAATATATCATATGGAGTTCCATGTTCCTCGTGTTCATTCACCCACACCACCTCCACTCCCGGTGGGGCCTCTGCGCGTAATTTCTCCGCAACAAATCGTTCAGCGGCCGTGGCGTAATCGGCGGTGTCACGATGTTCATGTGCAATCATCGCCCCTGCACAACTCTGCGGTCGTCCACCACGGCGTACACGTTTACGGGGATGTAATGATAAGGAAGAATTGATGTGGATATCATCATCCGAGTCATTTTCTGTTTGCTCGGCATCCCTGCGAAGACGGCGTAGAATATCGTGAGCGGAGTCCAGGGCATCACACTTCCACTGTGGGAGAGATCGAATCATGCGGCCACTGTGTTGACCCCACAGTAATACCTTTACTCGCTGTTTGTGGGATTCACTTTCCTGTGAAATACCAGCCAAAGTGGGAGAACCATAAGTATAAGAAGAAGAGGAAGAAGAAGAAACTGTAGAAACCATAGACCGTCCATAATTGCCAAATCCATCTTTGCCAGGAGGGAAATGTTCACGGAAACGTTCAGCCGGAGCCGCTGAAAGTTGCCAAATTTCATCATCACATGAGGAGTATGATGATGGTTTTATCTCCGTTGACTTTGTCCCTTCCAAATTTCCTGTGATGATGGAGGGTGGAGGTATTTCATCAAAATAAAGATCTGCACAACGTAACCATTCTTGTAAGGCACGAGTGACTCCCTGTCGTACTTTATAATCCGCTAATGGTAAAAATAAAGCCGCAATAGCATCTGCCCCAATATAAGGAGCAAAGTCTTCACTTACTCCATAAAGACAATTATGTTGACGTACATAACAGCATCGTAGTGGACGGGTCATTTGATATTCATATCCCTCATATCGTAATACCTCTCGTAAGATTGGATCCTTTGCTAATACAGTACTAGCATGCTCTAGAGATTTTCGTATGTGTGGTTGTACAATTGAATAGTAATGTGGATAATGTGTGCGAAGAAACTCTTGTACACGTGGGGCACATTCTCCAATTTTTTGATGAAACTCTGCACTCTTCGCCGCATTCATAGAACTAAAGGTAACAATCTTTTCTGTACAATCCTCTAACGCTAATAATCCCATTTTGCGTAAAATAGCAGATACCACATAATGTGGTCCTTCCTCTCCTTGTCCTTCTTCTTGTTCTTCTTCATGTGTAAATAGGAGAACAGGCAATGCGGGGGCCCTCTCTGTTTCGGATGCTTGTAAGGCAAATCCACTCAAATTACAATAGTGTGAACCACAGAAGAACAAACCGTCAGCGGCACGTCGCCAACGTCCAGCAAGAGGAAATATATATTCCTTACAACTATTCAAAGGGACGAGATCTACCATTTTCTGTAATGCCTCTTGTGCGATATTATTATTATTATTATTATTATTATTATTATTATTATTAGTATTATTATTATTATTATTATTCTCAGAGAATATGGATGACTCACACTTCTCAATGAGATGAGTATATTGTAGAATGCAAGAACGAACAAACGAACGGAGAAATAATGCCGTTAATGAAGTATTCATTTCTTCTGATGGAGCTGCAAGGCGTCTTCTGCAGGCATGTGCGGCGGCTATCCATGTTTTTACGGTTGGAACAGGAGAAACACCCAATTGATTTACAGTAAATATAAAAAGATCATTTCCAATAAAGTCAATAGATCGATCAAATATATAAGCCTCCTTCTTGTGTTCCATCTTTACATATTCACTATCGTATACAGTATTGTTATTATGCATACAATTCTGAATATTATGTATGGATTTCCAATAAACAGATTCAAAGGTAGCCAACTCACGCACAATAAATTCCCCACTTGAAATCATTTTTAAACGATCTTCTGGTAGTGGAAATATGGGTTCTTTCCTCATTTCCAAAAGTATATCCATTCCTGTTGTTATCTCACTATTAGTAGTAGTAGTATTATTATTATTATCGGCAATAGTACGTAATAAACACCGCAAGGCAGAAACAGAAACACAACTTCCAATCTTAAGTGTACGAAGAATACGAAGGGCTACAAAAGCATCACATTTTACCGGCATTCCCATAAGAGATGCGAGCGATTCCTTATGAACATTATTCATACACTTTTGTATGGTAGGTATCCATTCCTGTAGAAATAATTGTATAGATGTACGTTGAGGGAAATCTTTATCCTGTTCCAGTAATAACAACATCTCATCCATACAAGAAGGGGCAAATAATAATAACTTGTTTAGTCCATTATGTGTAAAATACTCAATGGAAGCCGGAAAGAGTTCAGATGGGGATGCCCAACGCATTACATAGAGAGAAGTATTACTCATATCATTCCCATGATGACGTGATAAACACGGTATCCATGCGATATTATGTAAACTCTTTATTATCATTTCTATTCCTGTAGATATTTTCGTTTCTGTGGACTCACACCATACAGCTAAAAGCCACCAGTAAAGAAGAAGCATACGAAGAGCCATACGGCATTCATCTACACTATTATTACTCATACCTCTTCTTCTTTCTCTTTCTCTTTCTCTTATGGTTGTGGATTCCATTAATAATCCTGTTGTTGTTGTTGTTGTTGGGGCTTTATTGTTAGAATACTGTTGAAGCTGATCTTTCACTAGTTGTAAAAGAAAACCATCGACAAACCAATCTTCTGAAACTTGCAATAATACACCGTTACTTTCAAGAGCATTTAATACCAAACGTTTATCCTCCTCTTCCTCTTTCTGTTTATGAAGTATTGATCCATATATACCAGAGAAGAGTTTCGTACCATCTATCATTATTAAAGAATCCCCTTTTTCCATGGATTTGTTGGGATCCAGAATAAAATGTAATGGATGAAATTTAAGTAAATCTTCACAGTTATTGGAACCGGTTAAGAGAACACGTCCACGCAGTCCTCCTTTTATAGCGGATAATGGTAATAATGATTTTGTTCCTACAAGAGGTAAAAACAATAAATCTGACATTCCCAAATCTATACACTGAAGTAGTAAACGACTAGGAGTAGAAGTATGAGATTCAATATTATTACTATTATTAATATTACTAATAGTAGTAGTATTAATATTGGTACTGTTATTACAGTTCTTCTTCTTATCATTATTATTATTATTATCATCGGAGTTATTTGCAAGGATAGAGTAAAAGGCATACAACTGTGTAGGTGCCTCTTTATGAGAGAAAAGATTCAAAAGAGTTCCCAAATCCATAGAAAATAAATCTTTTGAACTCTTCATAGTTCCATTAGGCTGCAGTATTTCACTATTCCTTCTTAACTGTGGTAATAACTGCAATGCAGATTCCTTAAATCTGGAAAAATTATCACACATTGCACGGCAAGAGATATCATCCGCTGTATACATAACAGCTAAACAACGTATAATGGATAAAATATTTTCAAATGGAATTGAATTTATACAACTTGATAACACCATAGATGATGATGATGATGATTCTACTGTATCTTTGCATGCCTGATTTATCATCTCCTCTTGTGGTTTCTGTTGTTGTTGGACCACAAGTGTAGATGGTTCATCTATTATGATTTCTGTTGGTTCACCCACTATGGTTCCACGTCTACGTTTTCTCGCATGTACACTACGATCCATTACCATCATGTTTGGCATTCCAATAGCCGGCGGTAATGCTGTTGGCATTGATGTTATTGTGTTTATTGTTGTTGGGATAACTGACCCGAGTGAAATATCATGAATAGCAGAAGTAGAAGAAAATGAAGAACTCACTGTATTCTCCTCCTTCTTCTTATTCTCCTCCTTTACTACTACTACAGTTGAATGAATAGATGTAGTCTTTCCATCATCACATGGAGAATCCCCTTTCTTACTGTGTAGAGTGCCATATAAACATAATCCCCCACTCGGCCCATCATCATAAGAACTCCATAAAGAAGATGGAATAAAATCTAATTTTTCCTCCGCTTCTTCCGTTGAGGCCCGTACCATAAATGGTATTCGCTGAGAAGATAATGATGATAATGATGGTAATAATTCCTCTCCCACTTCAGACTTCTTCAACATACAAGCAGAAAATATAGAAAGAGAGGTACGTTGAATAAACTCTCCATATCGTTCAAATGTCTGTGTATTTGTTTTCTGCAATTGTGAAAAGAAGGCGGACATTCTTCCCACTTCCTGCCGTACAAACTGCAGGAGCCATGGGAAGTGTTGAATGTGAATTCCCAATCGCATCGTTGTGTAGATCCCATCTTTATACCGTCGAGCAAAGGAGCGAACGGCATCACTGGCATCTCCTCCACTGGCCAATAAACTCTGCGCATGTGGGTCGAAGAGTAAAAACTGCATAAAATCAATACTCTTCACAGGCGCAATCTTCACATTGGAATGAATATTAAAAGCCTGTTGAACTACCGGTAAGGCAGTCAACGAGTTTCCAAGTCCAAGTTCCACATAAGAAGCCACATGTTCTGCTAAACAGATTTCACATTCCAATTCATATATCGTCACGACTGGACGAGTGGCCACGGCACTTTGAATAAATGCGGTGAGTCGAGATTGAAGAACCGCCACAGAGGCGAGCGATGGGATTTGTTTAATCGCGAAGGGCAATCCATCCGGAAATGGGGATTGACCGGCATTATTATAAAACCGTGTGTAGATCTTGTTAAGTATATACTCTACGGTGAGTGGAGGTCCTTGCGGTGAGTGGTGGCGACTAGAGAGCAGTTCCTTCACATACGCATCAATTGTCTCCACCGACAACAGTTGATGCCGTCTAGGCTGCTGTTCATCCATAAAGCTGGAAAAGAAGAAAAAAAAAGAAAAAAAGAAAAAAAAGAAAAAAAATATATCTACATACATATACATGTATATATATATATATATATAT